TGTAAGTTATGCCTCAATAAAGCTGTTTAAAAAGTAATATTATAATTAACATTTTTTTTTTTTTTTTGAGACAGAGTCTCACTTTGTCGCCCTGGGTAGAGTGTCCTGGTGTCAGCCTAGCTCACTGCTGCCTCAAACTCCTGGGCTCGAGTGATCCTCTTGCCTCAGCCTCCCGAGTAGTTGGGACTACAGGTATGCGCCACCACACCCAGCTAATTTTTTCTATTTTTAGCAGAGATGGTGTCTCACTCTTGCTCAGGCTGGTCTTGAACTCCTGAGTTCAAGCGATCCTCCTGCCTCTGCCTCCCAGAGTGCTAGGACTACAGGCATGAGCCACTGCGCCTGGCCAGCAATTGACATCTTTAAACAACAAATGTTAATTTGCAATTTCTATTTCCTCACTACACAGAGGGGTCATTTTTCGGACTTGCCACCTGGCGTTCCGAGGCCTTCCAGAATTTGTTTCAAGATCTGAGCTCAGGATGTGCTCACTTTTCCTGCTTGGAACTGAGAGACCTCAGATCTTTGTACAAACTGGGAGTGTCTGGCAGGGCCCTTTCAGAGGCATTTCACAGCTAGAGAAACCAAGGCCCAGAGAAATAAAGGGCCTTACCAAGACCTTGCAGGCAATTGGCAGCACAGATGGGCTTCTGAATGCCAATTCCGGGGGAATCCATCACCCTTGACTCTTTCTTGCCGGAGCCCCTTTAACTCCTCTGGAGGCTCCTGTCCCCTGTGTGAGGTGCTCCAGTCGCTTCCCTTCTCGGGTGCACAGCACAGACTCTTCTAGGTCTTAAAAAGTCTGGTCCTTTTTGCTATCAAAGTGTTTATCTTGACTGGGAGCGGTGGCTCATGCCTGTAATCATAGCACTCTGGGAGGCCGAGGCGGGCAGGATTGTGCTTAAGCTCAGGAGTTCGAGACCAGCCTGAGCAAGAGCGAAACCCCGTCTCTACTAAAAATAGAAAGAAATTAGCTGGACAACTAAAAATATATAGAAAAAGTTAGCCAGGCATGGTGGCGCATGCCTGTAGTCCCAGCTACTCAGGAGGGTCAGGCAGGAGGATCACTGGAGCCCAGGAGTTTGAGGTTGCTGTGAGCCAGGCTGACGCCATGGCACTCTAGCCCAGGCAACAGAGTGAGACTCTGTCTCAATAAAAAAAATGTTTATCCTCTGTTCAGTCTAAAGCTTCACCTGCTTTACTCCAGAATAACTGTGGGGAGAGAGAGGCTGTGATCAGCTTCTTCGTTGTTTCTCCACCTTGCTGTCCCTGTGCTGCTTTCCCAGGGCTGGTGAAATAGGAGAGGAGGGGGCGAGAGTAGAAAAGGTCTTCCTCCTCTGCTGGGGTTGCAATTGGGCATTGTTGCCTCTGGGCACTGCAGGTACCCAAATGCTGATTCTGTCCCCATGGGGTGCTATTTCCCAGGAAAACCCCTACCAGGGACCTTGCCCTGCATTCCCAGGCAGGTGCTGGCACTCTCTGGCTGATCCCTGGGACCCTCACCCCTCAGCTTCTGCACCCTTATTTACCACCCCTGGGAGGAAACCACCTTGGGCAGGGGCCTTTCCAGAAGGTTAACAGCCACCTTCCTTCCTAAGGTCCCACTTGCCCCCCACCAAAACAGTCACCACTCTGCACCATCAGGGCAGGAGCAGTCTGCTCCCAGAGCAACTGATCCTGATCCTTAGAACAAACTTCAAGGTAGACATTTTCATTCCTCGCTCCCCCACTTCACAGATGGGTAAACTGAGACAAACAGACCTGTCTGGTATTAGAATCCAAAGGACCCCAAAGCCCTTTTGTTTCTTCCACATCAAGGATCCTCTTGGCCAGAAAGTTCACCAGTCTCAAGGTCATTGCCATCATCCACAGCAAATATTTATTGAGTACCTAGTATTAGTGAGACAGGTCAGACCAGGTAATCTGTGCAGACTGGAAGCTCAAGGCTGGGCAAAGGGCAGGAGCCGAAGGGAGGAAGGATTGCTCAGCCGAGATCTGTCCCTGCCCAGCCCAATGAGTCCATAAAGTAAATCTGGAAGGAAAAAAAATCACCAGGTCATCTACAATCCAGGGATCAAGTGACAAGAGGCGGAGGTGCCATCAATCAAGGTTGAAACCAATGGTTCTCAAACTTTGCTACAAATGGAATCACCCAGGGATCTTTGAAAATTACTGACGTCTGGCTCCTACCCCCAGACATTCTGATCTGATTGGTATGGGAGCAACCTGGGCTTCGGGATGTTTAGATGTGTAGCAGAGCTGTAGGAGGGAGGGGTGTGGGGAGGAGGTTTGACAGGAGCAGGTGGTGGTGACAGCCTCCAGGAGCCTGAGGTGCTAGTGCGGGAGCTCAAAGTACTGGGCTGGCCCAAAGTGGGCACTTGGGAAGCACAAGTTGGAGGACGGTGGGAGAGAAAGGCAGGAGGGAGGGAGGGGATGAGAGGGAAAAAGAGCACGAAACACAGGCAATGTGGTGAGCTAGGGTCCATCCTCTGTCATGAACTTTCTGTGTGAGCTTGGAAAAATTGCTTCCCCTCTCCAGCCTTAGTTTCTCCATCTGGAAAAGCAGGAGATTGAATTTGTGGATAGCCAAAGATCCTTCTGGCTCTGGGGTTCCCGATCTGCAGATCCGTAAACAAAGCTGTTCCCCCTGAGTCCGGGCGGGCAGGAATAGGCTCAGATGTCCACAGGCAGCCCTGGCCCCTCCCCGGGCTCCCGGCTGCTATGCTCACGCTTCCAGATGAGTTTGTGGCTGTGGAAATTTCCTCAGCCCCTCCAGCTCAGCCCAGGGAACGTGACTGTCCTTTCAGCTTCCAAATGGAAATTTCCACTCTCCCCCAATTGCTGGTGGCAGATGCAGCACCATGGAGCTGGAGACAGACAGAGATCATGGCCATGAGGGAGGGGACAGGGGACAACCTGTGTTTACAGGCAACACAGGGGGAGGCAGGGGGCCAGGCATCTTCCTCTTAAGTATTTATTGAGCACTTCACCTACTATGTCCTGGGCCCTATGCCAGATGCCAGGGACACAGGTACAAATAGGATAGACCCCGTCTCTGCCCTCCTGAAGCATATCTTCCAATAGGGGAAGAATCTATATAGATAGTGCAACTAAAAGCAAAGCAGGATAATGACATGGGGAGTGATGCCAGGGGCAGGGAACTCAGAGAGCGGGAGATGAGGGAAGGCCATGCTGCTGACAAGGTAACATTGTGTCACTGTCATGGGAGCAGAGGGTCCCAGGCCTTGGCCAGCATGTTGAGCCAAGGATGGGGTAGGGGGAGGTGACGAGATCTCGGAACCAGCTGGGGGCCTAGGGCCTTCCAGCCAGGGTGAGGACTTTGGATTTTATGTTTGGTGCTATGGGGAGCCCACAGGAGGCTTTGTGGCAGTGGGGTGACGTGATCTGACTTCCATTTTATGTTTACTTATTTTTTACAACCCAGTATAAATATTTATCTTAATATCAAGCACAGGCTTCATCACAAAGACTTGGTCCAGTTTCATGAGACTTGCGTAAGTGCATGTATTTTACCAGAGCAAATGCAGACTCGAGAATTAACTCATGGTGCAAAGGCTATGCAGTTGCGTCACTTAGAGGCATTTGTGGTGGACAGTGCAGGGCCTGACTCATGCTCCCCCTGCAGAGTGCAGCTCCACCTCTGCTGGAAGGGGAGAGTGCGGCCAGCAGGGAAGCGCCAACCCAGAGTTCTTAGCGCCAAGAGCAACTCTGTTTTCATTGCACCGGTCCAGGGCTGTGATTTCCCCCAGCAGGCTGTTGGCAAGTGGGTGGCACATGGTGGTACCCTGGCCACACCATGTTGACATACAGGTCCCTTCAAATGCCAACATCACACTTCAGGACTGAGTTGTCCAAGCCCCGGGAGGAGGGCTGGAGGAGATGCCTGGACATCTGGCCCTCTCCTGGCCAGGGGCAACCTCCCAGCCACCCAAAACTCAGGGCCCTTCTCTCGCCAGTTGCTTGTCAGCTAGGGTAGTGAAGCTGAAGCCTCTTTTTTGTCAGGATCTTCATGGAGTAGTTTCTCATGCCACAGTCCAAGCACTCCTGGTGGTATGAACAGAGGCGCACGGGGAGGCCGCCACCCCACTCAGCACAAATGGTGGGTATTGAAGGCTCCAAACCTGACCTGGGTCATCCTCTGTCTTTTGGGGCAGATTTCAGCAGAGCTTTGGTAAGGAGAACATGTCTTCCTCAGAGCAACGTGGAGCTTGTGCAGAAGGTAGGATGCTAGATTTTTCTCCAAGTCAGCCAGTTCATTTGGGTGCTTTGGGGTCAGGATGCGGGTATTGCTCTGAGCTGTCGCCCACATATTTGTCCCATGTTTACCGTGACCCTCTGGGGTATCATTCCCACTAAGGCCAGCTTTGCAAATGCCAGAGTCATTGTCGATGATGAGTGCAGCAATTTCTTCTTCTATTGTGACACAGCTGAGGCGGCAAATGCACTGGGCAGAGGCCTGGGTGGAGGATCTGGGCATCACTCTGGCAGCCACGGGGAGCACACTGCAGAGGGCAAGAAGGACAGAGTAGGGCTGGTACAGGGACCACTGTGAAGATCCCAGCTGTTGATGGTGGGGCCCGGGCAGGGGCATCTCAGAGGAAGAGGTGATGGGGTCTGGGAGGAAGATGGAGTCCAAGCATCTCCCTGGCGTGTCCTTCCACTGTCAGATCATTGAACTGCTCCCCACTCTGCAGGACACATGCATGGAACCCCACAGCTATCATTCCTTCTTTCTCACATGCACTGGACGAGTAATTATGGAGTGCCACCGCCAATCTGACCAGGACCCACCCTGCTCCCCACCCACGGGTGGCTCCCCAGTGCCTATAGAATCAAGTCCAGATTCCTTGTCCTGTGACCTCCCAGTCTCATACCGCCCTGCCCCCTCCATCTGCAGTCCCGCCACACCCGCGTGCTGCCATCCCACCTCGCCCAGCCCTCCTCATGCTGCTCCCTTTGTCTGAAACACCCACTACTGCTTTTTTTTTTTTTTAACCTGCTCAACTCCTGCTTCTCCTTTGGGACTCAGCTCAGGTGTCAACTCCTCCAGGAAGCCCTCCCTGACTGGTTCCCACCACCCTGGTCTGACTTGGTTGCCCTTCTCTGTACTTCTACGGGTCCCTCTGATTACCCTACCAGACCCGTCACACTGTGACATCTGTTAGTTGCCTGTCTCCCTCCTGGGCTGTGTGTCTTGTTGTCCTATATTCCCAGCACTCAGCACAGAGAAATCTTGGAATGTGGGATAAATGAATGAAGCATGCCAGTCCCTTGTTAGGTTTCATCTTCAGAGATGAAAAAGAGACATTGTCCCTGTCCAAAGCAAGGAGAAAAGGGAAATCAAAAAACAATTTGTCAAACAATGACAAAGAGGGGTGCAGGAAAAGGGGGGAATGAGGTTTTCTGGAGGGGGGGTCAGTGAGTACAGTGGGGTTTCTGGAGTCAGAAAGCCCTGGATTCAAATCCAGCACAGCTGCTTATCAGCTATGTGACTGGGCCTGCTTTCTTAACCTTCCTCTCCCTCAGAGACAGAATGCAGCAGTGTGGCTCATGGAAAACACTGGAGAGGCTGGGCATGGTGGTTCATGCCTGTAATCCTAGCTCTCTGGGAGGCAGAGGCGGGCAGATTGCTCAAGATCAGGAGTTCGAAACCAGCCTGAGCAAGAGCGAGACCCCGTCTCTACTATAAATAGAAAGAAATTAATTGGCCAACTAACAAATATAGAAAAAATTAGCCGGGCATGGTGGCGCATGCCTGTAGTCCCAGCTACTCAGGAGGCTGAGGCAGGAGGATTGCTTGAGCCCAGGAGTTTGAGGTTGCTGTGAGCTAGGCTGACGCCATGGCACTCTAGCCTGGGCAACAAAGCGAGACTCTGTCTCAAAAAAAAGAAGAAAAAAAAAACAACACTGGAGAAATATGCTGACCATTTTGATTTGCTAACATAATGGGTGGGCAATGAAGGCTGTGGGAACAGACATGCCACACTCAACCCTGTCACCTGTTCATACATCAAACTCCATCACCCTTGGGATCAAATGAAAATGCAATAGCCCAGAAGTCAGGTTTGGCTTCTTGATTACACCGGAGTGCAAACTCCTTGAGGGCAAGAACCTTTATCCATTTTATTTGCTGCTAAATTCTCAGCACCTAGGATAGTGTGTGGTACATAGTAGGTCATCAATAAATGAATAAATGACTGACGCGCCAGCCCTAGGCTCTGAGCCTGACCCTGACCACGCCCTTGCATGGGACACCCTAGTTCGTTTCATTTGGCCTGGCCGGCCTCGTCTGTGCTCCCACCTCACACTTGCTGGTTCCTGCCTTTGGGCCTTTGCACTAGTGGTCCCCTCTGCCAGGAACACACACTCCTGCCTGCCTCATCTGTGGTGGCCCCTCACCCTGCCACAGCCACTGTGTGTCACATCTTCTCCATAGCACACGCCACAATCTCTGTAGCGTCTGTCTCCTCCCCGAGAATGCACGTGCAGGGGTAGGGCCCTTGTCTGCCTTGAAAATCGTTGTATCCCCAGAGCCGAACACTGTGCCTCGCAAGAATGAGGGCTGAGTGTGCATTTGTTCAGTGAATGAATGAATGGAGAGACTTGTTCTGGGTGATCTGCTAGGGAACCTTCTAGCTCTTGGAAATCTACAGAGAAAGGAGAGGAAGGGGACTGGGGGTAAGGAACATGATACATGAGATATGTCAGAAACTGGAACCAACGTCCCAACCCTCTTCCCTGACAGCCAGGAGACCTTCCAATGGGACATCACTGAGGGCAGAGTCTGGGAAAAACAGGAAGGAGGAGGTGAGCACAGGCATGGCCACACTGAGCCCACTGAGTTCAGGCCAGACGGGGACCTGACCATCTGGGAAATGGCACTGACAGAGCAGCCTGCTGGCTCTGCCTAACCTCTGTGAACCTCAGTTTCCTCATCTATAAAGTGGGATAGGAACTGTATTTAGTTCATAAGGTTGTTGTAAGGATTTGATAACACGGATTATGTAAAATGCTTACACAACATGTAACAAATAGAAAGAGCTCAAAAAACCTTAACCATAAAAGAGAAAAAAGAGAGAGACAGGCCAGAGTGAGAAAATACAGAGTGAGGTGACACAGATGCAGATGGCCTGGTCCCCTCGTGGTAGCCCAGTCAGGCGTGCTATGAGTTTGGACCTCTCAGAAAAGAGACAAAAATTTAAGTTATCCAAACTTCAGCATTCCCTCCCCAAAATGGATTTTTGATTCTTCTGGTCCAACCCTTCCATTTTGCAAATGTTCTGAGTCCCAGAAAGGACGAAGGCACCAGGGTCAGTAGCAGAGCCAAGTGCGCAGAGCAGGCCCACCAGGGGGAGGATGCTCAGGGGCCGTGTACCCTGTCCTCCCCAGTCTGGGGCAAGGGTCTGCCTCCCTCTGTCCCCCCAGCTGCAACGATAGGAAATGGCAGGCTGAGAAGACCTGTGGGGCCGGTAGGAGGACCCAGGGCAGAGGGGGGCCAGTGCCCGGGGAGGAGGGGCACTTCACCAAACCTAGCACTGAGTACCCAGCCGTCCTGTGGGTACCCGCGGTTTGCAGATGTGGGTGTGGGTGCCCAGGGTCCCTGTGGAGCCAACAGAGCCAGAACTGGAATCCTGCTGTGTGACTCCAAGAATCTCTGCCTTGCTTCTGACTGGGAATTGAAAGGCCTGTATTTGAGACCATCCCTAACTGACCGTGACCTTGGGTCAGGCCTTTCTCTCTGGCCTCCTTTACATAAGGAGGGTAGATGCCTCCACCACCGAGCGCCCTTCCAGCTGGAGCTGACGTTCTTGGGATTCTGAACGCCTCCCAGGCTGAGTCAGAAGGAAAGCCTGCCGGCTTCTAAACAGAATGCCCCTGTGGTCTCTCATCCACCCTTTGCGGCCCAGGCACAGGGCTCCTGCCTAGGAGAGCTCCTCGAACCTGCCCCAGCCCCAGGCTGTTCGGTGCCTCGCTGGCCTCCAGCCAAGGGTGAAGGTCGCCAGTCCACCTTTCCAGCCCGGGAGCCTGGGCCTCAGCCCACGCCATTCTCAGGGGCCGACTCCACTCTACAGTTTGAGGAAGGGAAGCCAAACAACATAATCAAGGCCCTCAATTCCTCCAAACCTTCGAGGCTTTGGGAAGCCCAAAGGTCAGTATTTAGGCCAGTATTTCTCAAGCTAAATTAAAAAAAAAAAAAAATTTTAATCTGCTGATAACTTACACTTTTCTAAAATTTAAAATATACTGGATAGTGGTAATGGTTACACAGTATTGTGAATGTACTTAATGGCACTACATTATATAGTTAAAAGGGTTAAAGCAGTACATTTATGTTATGTATATTTTACCGCAATAATTTTTTAAATAGAAAAAATGAAATGAAAAGAAGATGCAAAATTCTAGCCTACCTTCATCGTAATAGTATTCAACAGACCTTGTACTATTGTTACAAAGTTTCTAAATGCTTACTTTCGGTTTCTGTACTTATCTCGTTGTAGACCAGTGATAGTCTGTGGACTGGCAGCGGTCCCGGCGGTCCCAGGGCTGGCTGAAGCTGCCGAGAGGAGACTTTCCAGGAGGCACAGCGTTCCTTGACTCCCGGGCACTACTTCTGGATGCCAGGCTGGCCAAGCCCAAGCAGCCCACGCCAGGCTGGTCTGGCCATGGCTGACCCTCCTTCCATACCAGTTTGTCTCCCAGGGCCTTCTTGATGTATAAAATGTTTGATTTCAAAACAAAAATGTAGTTTATTATATTTCAAACAGGAAGAAGCACTACAATTAACCAAAGTGTGTGCCTAAACTATCAAGACCGTTTTGCCATTTTAATGGTAGCTTATTTATGCCAGCCGCGAAGATGCCTGGAGAGTGAGTGGTGATGAAATCCTGAAAGGTGTTTTCCACAGCTCGTTGAGAATTGAATATTTTTCCTTGAGAAAAGTGGTCCAAAGCCTGGAAGAAGTGGTAGTCAGTTGGTGCAAGGTCTGGTGAATACAGCAGATGACAGAGAGTTTCCAAGTCCAGCTTCTGTAGTTGGAGCAGCATTGTTTGTGCAACGTGTGATGAAATTCTTACAAGAGGATTGGCCTGTCTCTACTGACCAATCTCAGATGCTTAATCACAAGCATCCTCATCATTTCTTCCAATTGCTTGCAGTGGACACTTGCTGTAATTGATTGACCAGGTTTCGTGAAGCAGTAAGTGGATAACACTAGCCCTAGACCTCTAAACAGACACCATTAGCTTTTTTGATGAATATTTGATTTTGGACTGTGTTTTGGCACTTCATCTTTATCTAACCATTGTGCTGGACACTGGCAATTGTCAAAAAGTATCCAGTTTTAATCACAGGTAACAATACGGTGTAGAAATTTTTCGCTTTTAAGTTGTGACAGCAAAGAAAGGCAAGCTTCAAGATGATTTTTCTTCTGACACTCATTTAATTCAGGCAGAACCCATCTATCCAGCTTCTTTCCTTTGCCCATTTGTTTTGAATGGTCCAATATTGTTGGAATAGTAATGTCAAACCTTGCTGTTAATTCACACTTAGGTTGAGATGGATTTGTTTCCACTATAGCTTTCAGCTCATCATTATCCACCTTGGTCTCAGGTCACCCATGTGGCTCATTTTCAAGATTAAAACCACCAGAATGGAACTTTTCAAACCATCAGCGTACTATATGTTCTTTAACTACATCCTTCCCAAACACTTGGTTGATATTTCAAGCTGTCTGTGCTGCATTGGTTCCACGATGAAACTCATATTAAAAAATAACACGACTTTCTGACTTATCCATGGTCTCACAAAAATTGATCTAAAAAAAATTTGAAAGAGAATCACAAGCCAAACCATGTGTTTGAAAGAATGAAGATGTACTTTCATAATAAAGAATAAAACAAGAAGTGTCAAAGTGAAATGTTCGAGATACCAACTGTCAAACTTAGTAAGGAAATTGGACATTTCATACTTAATAACCTAATACATTAACAAAGCATCCCTGGTCAGTGGCCAGGAGAATGGTGGTGCCACTGATAGTCACAGAGAGTCACAGGCTGGGGAAGCACAGGGTAGAGGTATGCCTTCTTTGCTTCTAATCCCTACACCAAACGTGGCCCAAGCATCATCTCCTAAAGGAAGTCACCCTGGCCCACATCCGGACTGAGGAGCACCTGTCTGTGCCCCACATAAAGCACAGGTCTCCTGTGTTTGTACTGAATGGTTGACACAGTAAATGAGGAAGTGGGGCCTTCTATGGGGGGAGGGGAGAAAGGGGATGTAATATGCGCCTTGTTCCTGGGTGGTGGCTGGATTTCAGGCCCTGAGTCCCCTAAGCGAGGTGCTCCTGTGCAGGATGCAGTCTGCACGCTGTGATGATTGGTGCTTCAGGCCCATTTCTGCTGGACTGGGGGACTGGAGAGTGGCAACTGTGTTTGGGACATTGCCTCCTGAATAGAGTAGCCTCTGCTAGGCTCAGCAACAGAAAACACTGTAGGCTTTTTAAAAAATCTAGACACCTGGGTTCCAATTTTAGAAATCTTACCTCCAAAGGGCTGATGAGGGTCTTATGTCTCCACATTTTGAAAAAGTGCCACGTGATCCTGATGCCCAGCTGGAATATCTGGGGACTGTGCTTGCAAAGGTACAGCATCTCTGGAAGGAGACACAAGGGAGGACAGCCAGGGACCAGGGGGAGGGAGATTCGCTTTTTATTACATGTCCTTTTGCACTCATTGGACTTGACCTAAAAAACAGGCTGACAGAGGGACAGTTGCTGTCAGGGGCTGTGTCAGGGACTGCAAACACTAGGCCCCTAGCGGGGCAGGTCCCCGTTAAGGACAGAGGGGAGGCACGGAGAGGAATGGAGGGCTGTAGAGCACAAGTCCGGCCTCAAGGGGGCAGCAGCTGCCCGGAGCTTGCTGATGGCGTCTGGGTGGGACTGTGAGCCCAGGGTGCCAGATCTTGCGGTTTTCAAGATAAGCCTGAAATTAGATTTTCACGTGGAATTGTCAACAAATTCAACAATTTAAAACACAGCATGGGCTGAACACGTCTGCGGACCCATGTTGGCTGAAGCGCCCAGTTTGTGCGTTCAGATCTGGGAGGATTTCATCAAGGATTAGGCACCTCGGAGGTTACAAAGGTAGGGCAGAACCATCATTTGCTTCTAGAAAATTGGGGTGATGGGGTTCGCACAGGATGAGGACAAAGCAGGTGCCCCAAGATGGACTGCAAGAGTCACCAACCGATTCATAATTAATTAATCCAGCACATAGTCCCCTCCCACCATGAGCCGGGCTCGGGGCTGGAGATCCAGTGGCAGGAAGAGTCCCTGCTCTTGGGGACTCTATGTTCCAGCTGGAGAGACATACTTGAAAAATAATTGCATAATAATAATAAATATAATGACTTATATTTGTAACACATGAGGAGCTGCAGTATAGCCCTGGGGTTAAAAGTTTGGGTTTGATTCCTGACTCCACCACTTGCTAATGTCACTTTGGGCAAATCTCCTAATCTATTCTTAGTTGTCTCCTTCCTCACCTGTGAAATAAGCAACCTTATAGGCTTGTTCTGGGGATTCACTAGGATAATTATTAGTTGCTGCTATTAGGAGAGAGCAGATAAGAGGGGAACCTATACTTAGCATGAGCCTCCACCAAACCCCCCATCCCAATGAATATTGGGGCTTTTTGCCAGGGAGGCGAGGCAGGAGGCCACAGGGGTTGGAAGCCCCAGGTCCAGAAGCTGCCTGCACCAGCAGCAGCTCAGTGCCCCCTCTCACTCACCATTCTGCTGAAATGGCTGTGATGGGACACCTGGCTCATTTCTTGCCTGTTTCTTCTTTCCTTGGATCCAATTTCAGCAGCCCACTTGTCTAGTAGGATTTGGTGCCCAAGGACAGGGTATTGCTCTTGGCCATGCTGGGAGAAGGCTAGGCCTTTCCAGCTATGAGCCAGAGTCCCTCCACTGAGGCTGCTGCATTTTGGGTTCATCAAATCCTACAACTAAGTTTTAGAAATCTAGATGCGTGTAGAAAACAAGTCAGAAAACCTTTCCTATGCCCCTAAGTGCAGAATATGCTGGCAGAGGCCTCAGGCACCTGGATACTTTGGACCTTCTGTTTCACCTGAGAAATGGAGGAGGCAAGAGTGAAGAGACTTGGCTCACCAGCAATGTGTCTGGGGCCTGGGAGTTCAGCTAAGTTGGGGAATACTCCATGTTTACTACATGGTTCCTGATCTTGCGGGGTCTGCACTCTAACCAGGTGGAGGATCACAGTCTTGGATTTGGAAAGGAACTTCCAGGGCACCCAATCCAACTCCCATCCAAAGAGGTGCCTCTATAAGAAGCCTGGCCCTCATGTTCTGTATTTCTAAATGATTCACATTTAATGGTGATTCAAACTGGATTAGCAGTAAGGTAGCCAAACTGTCATTTGGGTGCACAGATTTACCTGAAGAGCTACAACACTGCTGGAAACCAGAACTCTTTTACAGAGTGTGTGGGAACACCTTTATAAAATACTGGTAGGTGGGGGATGAGAGCTCTCTCTCAGGCATGTCTGAATAACAAGATGGTCACAATTGCCTTTTTAAGGTGGCGGCACTGGCTGAATTTAGGGCTTTCACTTGGGGGCTGAGTCAGTGTGCTGGTCTGGGGCAGAAGGGAATTGTTCAGGGAAACAGAGGGACACAGCTGCCAGAGCAGTCCCTTTCCTGTGCAGGAACTGGAGTAAGACTGCCTGGGTTGGACTCCCTTACTAGCTCATTGGGACCTTGGGTGAGTTACATAACTGTCCTCAGCCGTTCTCTGGACGGTGGAGATGATGTGCGCAGCAACGCCTGGATGTAAGTGCTCAATCAACAGTGGCACCACTGCTTTCCGAGCCAACGGTGGCGTCGTTTATTTCTCCTCCTCCTGTTTCCCATGTTCAGCAGCACATGCCCCAGTTCCCCAGCGCAGTGTCAGCCATGTGGATTGCTCCAGGGCCCCCAAGGGCTCTACCGCCTCACCCCTGTGCTGCTCCAACACCCCCCACTGTGGTCTCCAGTCAACTCATACCACCTTCATTTTTTCTTCCTTTAGGTGACTGTTTACTGACTCCTGCCATCCCTATGCTAGAAAGCCTTCAAAGGGCCTCTACCACTTAGGATAAATGAAGGGGCAGGGGACCTTCCTGGAGAGCCTGCCACAGGCCATTAACCATGGCAGGTTCTCTGTGCATGTCACAAACACAGGCTAAGTGTTTAATAAGTGCTTTAGTCGGGGGTTTGATTTGGGTCCATCTGACTTCTAATGACTAGCTCAAGTACTTTCTCCTCCACTAAACTTCCCAGATCATGAAAGTCCTCGGTGGTTACTCCTTTCACCAAAGCATTAGGAACATACCTGGTTAGTACAAGCACATGGTCCACAATGTCATTCGCAGCTAAGTGTTCCACAACTCTCCTCCCTCTTCATGTGTAAGAACATGATATGCTGGACCTTCACTTCATCTTCTTTTCATCCCTAGCACTTAGCCCAACGTGAAGCACACTGTGCCTGTTAAATGTTGTGTAAGAGCCTCCCTCATATCCTTCAAACTTTTATTTTATTTTTTTGGAGACAGGCTTTTACCTCCTGGGCTAAAGCGAAAACTCCTACCTCAGCCTAGTAGCTGGGACTACAGGCATGTGCCACCATGCGCAGCTAATTTCTCTATTTTTTTGTAAAGACAGGGTCTTGCTCTTGCTCAGGCTGGTCTCAAATTCCTGGCCTCAAGTGACCCTTTCAACTTGGCCTCCCAAAATGCTAGGATTACAGGTGTGAGCCACTGACCTGGCCTCTTTTTTTGTGTGTGTGAGATAAGGTTTCAGTCTGTTGCTCAGGCTAGAGTACAGTGTCATCATCATAATCAAACATCTTTTCTACTGTGGTCAATCATTAAGTCCAAGTATAAAAACCTAAAGAAGGGGGCTGGGTGTGGTGGCTCACACCTGTAATCCTAGCACTCTGGGAGACTGAGGCGGGTGGATCGCTCAAGGTCGGGAGTTCAAAACCAGCCTGAGCAAGATGAGATCCCATCTCTACTAAAAAAATAGAAAGGAATTAATTGGCCAACTAAAAAAATTAGCCGGGCATGGTGACGCATGCCTGTAGTCCCAGCTACTCGGGAGACTGAGGCAGAAGGATTGCTTGAACCCAAGAGTTTGAGGTTGCTGTGAGCTAGGCTGACACCACAGTACTCTAGTCTCACAGTGAGACTATCTCAAAAACAAACAAACAAAAAAACCTCAAGAAGGGACAAGCCTCATTTTGCACTCAACACAAAAGGAATGGAATCTGCTCTTTGGTGATAGTTTCCAGGCTGCAAACAAATTAACCAAGGCAGAAGTGCTGCCAGGAGAGGCTGGCCCGGCTGGGATAGATGCAGTTCCTGAGGATGGGACAGAGAACTCTCAGGCCAGGGAAAGTGCGGTGACAGACACTCCTTAGAAGCTCGTGGATACCCACTACTCCTCCACCCCTCCAAGTCAGAAGCAAAGAATTTTGGAGTGGAAGTTACTCAAACTGACCTAGCCTAATCTTCTCGTTTTATTCAGGAGAAAATGGGCACACCCAGGACTAAATCCTTCTCCAAAGGTCAGAGGTGAAATAGGACTTCTGATTTTGTGGGTAAGATGCATCCTGTTCAGTTTCCTGTGACTTATTACTGTCATGAGGTGGGGAGGTCAGGATTGCCTTCATATAAACTCAGGGCCACCATAGATCGCTTATAACTAACACGGGACCCTCTTTCAGGCCTATCTTGACCCTTTTCTTGCTTTCTCCTGAGGTCTGTTCCCTTTTCTGTAAGTCCTACATGAACAAATGAAAGCTTACTGCCATCTGTAGGACACCTAAATCATTGCCTCACCCTGTCCTCTTTTAGATACTGCTCAGCAGCTATTGTATTATGGCCATAACTCTTCAAATCAAGCTTTTGTCCAGAATTCCTCTGATTATCTCAGTGTAAATTTAAAGGTCAATTCAAGGCTAGGCGTGGTAGCTCATGCCTGTAATCCTAGCACTCTAGGAGGCTGAGGCAGGAGGATCACTGGAGCTCAGGAGTTCAAAACCACCCTGAGCGAGATCCCGTCTCTACTAAAAATAGAAATTAGCTGAACAACTAAAAATATATATAGAAAAAATTAGCCGGGCATGGTGGTTCATGCCTGTAGTCTCAGCTACTTGGGAGTCTGAGGCTGCTGTGAGCTAGGCTGACGCCACGCAGGGCACTAGCCCGGGCAACAGAGTGAGACTCTGTCTCAAAAAAAAAAAAAAAAGTCAATTCAAGGCACATAAAAGCTGCATAATCACTTCCAACTCAAGAGTATAATAAACTTAGAGTACTCATGAGTCTGTGGTTGAAAATAGTAATCATTTATATATAGTGCTAAATACATACTGGTCTAAGTGTGCACTCTCTATACACACACAAACCCACTTAATCCTAACAGCATCAGAGGTAAGTTTAGTAGGCTATTATTATTCTCATAAATTTAGCAAAACCCAAATCAAGATAAAGCCAAAGCTGCAGAGGCACATGCATTAGCAACATGTGGATCCACTGCAGTATTAGCAATCATCTTTTGCTGTAAGTGCTTGGCTTCTAAGAGCTTTTATACAGATGTCTGGGAAGCAAAAAAAAATCATATGTAATTAAGGTTATTTCCCAAATAGCATAGGAAAGCTGCCAAAGGCTTTCCCTGAATTGAGAGGAAATGTACTGATAATGGTGAGTATTATAGTCTCTGGATACAAGATGAAGTAGCTGCCAGCGTTAACCATCCAAGTCAAATGCTACTCCAGCAAATAATTAAAGTTCCCTTTAATCATGTCACAGGAGTTGCTACAGCAGCACAGAAAGTTCTATTAATACTCTGATTCTTGAGTCATAGCTTTGATGGCAGGAAAGCATTAGGACATACCCCTACCTGTAATCACCAAATATAACCAACTAAGACCTTGAGATTCCCTCTATTCTCTAGAAACTCCATTTGTGCCTTTATTTTGTCTTTTTAACAGGGAAACAGAACAAAAAAATGCTTGTTTGCAAATAAACATCTGAAAGAGTATAGTAACAGCTGATCTGGGCCGAGGCATCAAAACAAAGCAATGATTGTGGAAGAAGACAATGCAAACAACTCAGGAGCAAGAAACTAGAGGGCAGAGAACTTGCAGTAATGTGTATGCTGGGTATTTCCACCAGTCCAAAGGGCTCATCTGGAACACACACAAACTAGGCAGGTGTCTATAGCTTGATATTTGTTACCTGAATAGAAAGAAGTCACTGCCACCAACAGCACTGTGCAGTTTTATTAACCATTCAAGTCCAGTAGCATCTGGTAAGACTGGGACAGAATTGGGATTGAAAAGTGAACAAATATTCAGCATCTAACAGTTCAAAAGAAGCCACTACATACTCTTTTCACAAATATGTTTTCACAGAGCCAATACAGTACTAGCCATTAACCCAGTACATCAAGTGTACTGAAGTAGAAAAGATGCAACAAGAAAAATAGCTACATTAGAAAGACCAACACTTTAGAAAAAGAGTAAAACACTTTCAGTTTCTCCCCTTTAGCCCCTAAAACAACGTCTTACAGCCTGGATCTACCTATACAGTCCTACATCAGCTTCTAGAATATTTGTCAGGAGGGAAAAAATAAAATGACACTGGCCAGTACAGTCTTTGGATATTTAGGAAGGGGATGGGGAGAAAGTCAGTTCTCAGAACAAATTAGTCAGCTTCAGTCTCATCAGCAGGATCTTTGGATTCTTTGTTCTTCCGCACTTCTTCAATGTGCTTATCCTGCAAAACAATCGTAAGTATCATCAGTCAAATAAAAAAGCCTATCAAGTCATGCTCCCCCACCCCAAAGAGACCCAGTAAAACCTTGGTACATATATTACCAGCCCATGGGAATTACAAAATTAGAGTTCTGTGACATCATCTTCAAACCTCCTGGGTCACTTGTGGAACCTAATGACCAACCTGCCTATTGATTTTCCAAGAAATGCACGTAATTTTGCTGGATATTACTGAATATTCCATCATAAAATAAAACACCTCTCATTTAACATGTTAAGTCCCTAAACCAAAGGCACATAGTTCAAAGCTAATTCATTGGTGAATCAAACCACAAGCTCTTAACCCCTTTACAAAGCAAGAAACCAACCTTCTCCCGCAAACGCTCCAGTTTGGCAGCCATCTGTGCCTCTCGGTTCTCTTTGTTAGCTTCCATTTTGTGGGTCAGTTTTTCTTCCGCCATTTTACTGAAGTTGTTGTTCTCTTCTATTGCTTTCTGAAGCACTTCTTTCTCGTGCTCTCGTTTCTCAGCAAGCTGCTTCAAGACCTCAGCTTCATGAGACTAGAAAAAATTTAACAGACTAGGCTCTCTGGAATATATTTAGTATTAGTTACAATTACAAAAGATATTATTATTGGGGGGATTGAAAAGAGGCAGAAAATAAGGTCCCTTTAAGTAATATGGATATTAGGACCTGGATTATCCCTATCATAAAATACCATGAAATCATATTCTTTTTCTAGTATTTGTATTTACTTTGGAAAACTGCCTATATATGTTCAGAGATCTCTTGCCCAATTATTCCTTAAGGAAATCTTTATAAGATTTTCTGTTTAATGGTGTCCAGATGACTTTAGTAATATGCACTTGAGAATGGTACTGTATTATAAACTGGCTCACTGTAAAAGACTGTAACCATAACTGATTAAAAAAAAATCAATAATAGAAAATTTAACATTAAGCTTTCAGATTACCATTTAAGTCAGAAGGATTTGTTTCAAGGAAAGGCTTGTTAGCTTTTCTCTGTGGAAACTGCATTAAATTCCAGACCATACCTTGGTGTGCCTCCTTCAGCAGACTCAGGATAGCTTGTTATCAGACAGATTCAGAGGTGTTTGGAAGCATCGACTTACAGTGTTAACTACAGAGCATCTGTCACTGGTTCTATTAATTCTCTTTTGCAAAATCCTAGTCATGCTAGGAGTTTCACCATGTTTAGTCAGTTATTATGTAAAGTAGTGGCTAATGACTTTAAGGTCAGGGTTGATTCCTAAAAAACTTTCCCCTGTCCAACCTTAAACTACATGGAAGCACAGATAGAAGACGTTGCACCAGTGTAACTACCACTGCTCTTCCTGGGGAAAAGATTCGCAGTGCTGATGTTGGGTCACTGCACGTACACACAGCATGTGTCACTGGAAAGTGCATGATTCACGCTATAGCAGTTTAAAAAGGGGCCTGTGTGTATATGCTAGACTTCAAATCACACTAGCTGTGCTGGTCTGGGGCAGGTTACTATCTCACCTTTTTGTGCCTTATTTGCCCCAACTTTAAAATCAAACCCACTGGGGGGGGGGAGGTAAGGGCATTTATTGAAACCTTAAAGTTTGTACCCCCATAATATGCCGGAAAAAAAAAAATCAAAATCAAACCCACCACCCCAATCAGGGTTGGTGGGAAACAGGACTAAATGAGAATGTATGTAAAGTTCTTAATGAGTAGAATAATGTTGAATGGAAGGAAATACACTAAAATGTTAGCAATGGCTATTTCTGGAAGGTGGGAAAATGAATACTTTTGATTTCTATTTACATATTTGTTTTCCAATTTTTCTACAACAAGCATAGTATTTGTTGATTCTTCTGATTAGTTTTAAAGATAGCTACTTTGTAATAGAATTGCTTAGATAAGAGAAAAGCTACACAATACCAATTGAGCAACACAACCACATTACTAGCAATTTAGAATGCTTTTATTGTACAGCTCTCAAAAATAACAAGTGATAAAGAATCACCTGCCAACAAATATTCTATTTTTCAAAGAGGAAGCAAGAGAAGCATAAGCTTTGGTTTAAAACAGACCTGGGCTTGAATTCTGGTTCCTACACTTACTAGTTGTATGACTTCAAGAAAATAACATTCCTGAAACTGTTTTCTAATTTCTGTTATCTGAGACAACACCCACCATGTAGGGTCACTATATTAAAGGAGAAAAATATAAGCAAAAGAGGTGGCACATTAATAGGAGTCCAATACATGACAGCTGGTATTTTCGTCCAGCCATTGGCATGTATAATTTTCACATAGCTATAATCATGGTGTAGCTACAATTCTGTTTTCTTCCTGTTATGAAAATAAAATTCATTTGCCCTATTATACCAATAAATACCCTGTTTTCCGTGAATTGTGATGATTACCTTGCGTCTTTCTTCTGCAGCTTCTAATTTCTTCTGAATTTCCTCCAGGGAAAGATCCTTCTTCTTTGGAGGGGAAAGGGGGAATTCTGGGACAGATTCTTTTGACCGAGGGCTGAGAATCAGCTCAAAAGCCTGGCCTGAGGCACGCTTCTCCAATTCTTTCACCTGGATATCTGAAGTTGGTCATATTTATGATAATTCAGAAAACCAAGGTTCTCCTGTTCTAATAAACTATGCTACAACTTTCTAGAAACCAAATAAATGTAATGAATCAAACTAGGGCTGATGAAAACGCATTTGCAGGCAAGAGATAACTATGTAAATACCATCTCTCAGAAAACCAAAGCTCAACATTTTTGGATTAATAAACACTACTCTGAGACATCAGTACCTGACCATCCCTTTCATAAACAAAAGAAAGACGTGTGCAAACTCCACAGTTTTGTTTCGGAGTAAGCTTAATTGTCTAATAATGAAACAATTATGAGCTCTCAGTACATACATGCAATAATCCTTTTTTCTTCTTAACTATTCTATTCATAAAACAGCTTTTTGATAATACCGAAACACAAGTGCCAAATTAAAGGCATATGACCTGAGTCATCTCCTAATCTAACATCATAACCCCATCACAATTTCAGCTTTTCCAAATAGATTACCTACCAGAAGAAGCCATGGTGAATAGAAGACAAGAGACTGGCAGTGTATTCTACACAATCCACTGTGGTAAGGAAAGCCCTGAAAACGATTTTCAAAAGCATGCAATCAATTTCTTGGCATTTCTATATGTCGCCAACACAAAGAGATCTCAAATCACACCCATATAAATCAACGTCAGAAAAATCACTACGTGGAATTAAATAAGACATCATTAACCAGAAAAAAAATTATCAATATCTACAAAATACCAAAACATGTTGGGAAATTCAAACTGTAATATAACATTGGTTGCAGAAAATCAAGTTAACTGAGATTGCCCATTCAAAAATCTCACTGATTTTTAAAATTAGATGAAGTTACAAGGATGAAAGATTTTTTTTTTCCATTCATAAATCAAATTTCCCCCCCACACTGTGAAAAGATACTCCAAATTCAACTCAACAGTGTAGACCGGAGCCATCTTAATGCTGCCTACAATTCATTGTGCAAATGAAATACCCACCCTTGCTTTGTCTGTTTCTGCTATGGAGGAAAACAGAACGCCCAAACTAATATTAGCCAATAATGCAGAACGCCTATTGTTCCTGGGGTTTAAGCTCTTTGCCAACACCGAGCAAAATTAAGTTTCATGAACCTCTAGGGGTTTTTTTTCTCCCCAACCCTTTCCCCTCTAGGTTTTAAGTTATATTTGCTGCCGTTATATGCTAAAAAATGCTATATCTTTTGATTTTTTTAAGATCATGATTCTTGCAGACCTTAGGTTAGTACCAAAAACGCAGGACTACAGGTTCCCAAGAGCTAGAAATTAAAATCAGAGGCTATGAAAACGTCTACCCCGAGCAGAGCATTAGATTCAGCAGCCAACCAAGGATGGGCGTGGCCCTGGCCCAGGCGAGGAAAAGCGGACAGGACGCCCCCGGCCAATCAGAGCCCGCCCTGCTCTCCGGCCCCTGGCCCCGCCCCCTTGCTCCCCGCGCCTTTTCGAATCTCCCCGAACTCTCCACCTCGCCGAGCCCGCGCGCGTGGGAAGGGGAGGGATGGGCGGGGCTAACGGTCCTATCCGGGTAACTCCGCCCCTCCTGGGCTCGCCCAGCGCGGACGCCCCCCCCAACTCCCGCCAAAAACACCTCGAGGCCGCCACCACCCCCGCCGCAGCTCAGCGGGTGGAGCAGGCTCCAGTAACGAGCCGCCCGGTAGCCCCGCAGTCGGCTCGCCACCTCTTCCC